AACGCTTTCAAGTTTCTTAGGCCCGTTTCTACTCATTGACCGTCTTATGCCCCTGCTCGAGACTACCTCCAAGCGTTCAGGTGCCGACGTTAGAATCGTGACCATCGCCTCTACAGCGCCAAAAGCCTTCCTCCCTGCCAACTTCCAATTCCAATTTGACTCGGCTGCTGGGCTCGTCACTCCTGTAACTTGTTATCCCCTCGCCTGGCGTTACTTTCTGAAGTTCCTCTTCGCTAGCGACATGATTCTGTACAGCGTCTCCAAGGCCGGAGCAATGGTCTACGCCTCGAAGATGCAGGAGTTGTTCGACAAGTACAGCCTCAACATACTTTCACTCATCGTTCACCCCGGTGAAGTAGCCACCGAGGGAGTTGCCGAGGCTAACAATGCCTTCATGCGGATGATGGCCCGCACGTTTTATATGAGTTCAGAGCAAGGTGCTGCTTCTCCACTGTTCGCAGCTACTTCCGATCAGATCCGCTCCGACCCAGATCAGTTCAAAGGTAAGCTGCTCATGCCCGTTGGTAAGCCTTCGGGTTTGTACTCCGTAGTCAACGATAGGAAGCAAGCTCAGGGCCTTTGGGACGTCATGACGAAAGAGCTTGCCCGGCATCTTGAGGCGGAGGGCTTGGCTTCCATGAGAAAATGGTGATTGCTCAAGCAACTCTAGCCACAACTTAAAATATACTCGCCAAATTGACTTGCAAGTGGCGTGTTCGCATATATCTTCCACTCCTACCAATTTTGTTTACCGGGTGCAGTTACGTAACTCGTCTCCGAGAAGACCATGCCCAATCTTTGCCTATTCAATGATTACTTGGAAGCGAGGTAAATTGTCCCACAAGTAGCTGTCACTAGGAGGATACAGGGACAGCCTGAAATGCCAGCGCGCGGCAGGAAGGCCTATAGAGCCCTAGATCAGAACCCATTGGATAGGCTGATTGAACTGCGTCTGGAAAAGCCTCTCACAGGAGGTAAATGCTTCCTTGCTGTAGTCTCAACCATGTACGCGGTTCAAGAGAGTGGCCCTTGGAGCACCCTACTTCGTCGAGGCTTTCTTGATAGATTTCCCATTAGCCACCATCTCAAGCACCTGGATAATAATTCTATGTTAGATATATACAGATTTCATTAAGTCAGAGAGGCACACACCAAGTTAGAACATATTTGAGCCACAATCTATTGAGTTGTTAAGGGTCAAATTGTTGAGGTAGTTTATGATGCTGGGATTTTTTGGGTGGCCTAGAAGGGGGG